TGGCACCATAATTGGCATCCACATTTTGGGGAGGCTTGCCGGCCATGCTTAGCCCATGTAAGCGCTGCCATTCGCGCAGCCAACGCTGTAGGAAATCCAACAGCTCCGCGCATAGTTTTCCAGCCAAACGTGATTGATCCTCAGCACTGGAACCCACCTGGGGACCATCATTAGCTGACTTAGTAGAAGCTCTATATTTTCTTGATTCGAAGAGCTTATAGCCGCCAGTATTATTGGATGTTGGCGTTAGTTCACCAGGTGTCTTAGCTGCTGTAGCTACTCGCTGGGAAAGCTCTTCATTAGCCTGCAGCACCGCCTGGAATTCCTCTTCAATGTATCCACGCTGTTCTGCATTGCACTCAAGAAGCGCATGCAACAGGATATAAGGATAAAATGTGCTCAACATGTTCGAGTCGCGCCTTATGCAGGGCTTATATGAGCTCAGCAAATGCCGGGTCTCCGTGGACTGCACGTAGTCCACAAGTCGCGCAGCCCAGAGAAATGCCCACAGCTCGTAGGAGTTCTGCGTGTAGTGGCTGCCAAAGAGTGGCTGTTGTGTCAGCGTGCTGGGGCGCTGAGAGCATGTATAGCAGGAATTAAGTAATGGTTCCATGATCTCGCGCATTCGCAGCGGCAGGGATTGCCAAAGCTGTAGTTTCTTTTGCTCCTTGGGCGCAATTCCGCAAACGGCGAGAGTCTCCTGTATGGCCAGCGAAAAGCTGTCAACGTGCTTAGTCTTCTGCTGGAACTGATAACCGCGACAGAGTGCCGTTAAGGCCAGCACCGTAAAGTCATCAGTTAGAACGCTCAGCGGCAGCTGCTGCGGACCGGCAAAGTTGTAATTAGAGGGCAAATAACTGGCATCGATGGCACCCAACTCTCCCAGGCACTTGGCGGAGGCCAGTTGCAGTGAACGATCGTCGTGCTGGCTGCCAGACATTAGCACATTGACTATTTGCTCCATTAGCGGTTCCATCGGCAGCTCGTGCAGTATCATGTGATTCAGTTGGATTCGACGGCGGCCAAACAGCTCGGCCAGATGCTCTAGCCCATAGACGCGCACCTGCAAGCACTCGTTTGTGATTTGCTTATGTAAAAAGCGCAATTGATCAAGCAGTGGGGCCTCCTCCTCGCCTGTAATAGCGCCGCCAAGACATAGCTGGGCCGTATGGCGCTTGATACATTCACGTATTGGCGCCGATACATGCTCCATGCGTTCCAGGAAATATAAATCTATAATAACGAAAGTTATACAAATCTGAAAAGGATGCGCTTGAATCAGCTACGCACCTTGTATAAAGCTGCCGAGCATGGCAGCATTGCGTAGAATGACAAACTCGTAGAGCTCATTTACCTGCTCCACACTGTACTCAAGCAGCGGTTGCAGTGTGGCCACAATGCGTCCCAAGGAAGGACCTAGTTCCTGTATATTCACAACATGCAGGAAGATGTGCCAAATCTTCAGGCAAATGCGCTGCAGACTCGGCTCTTGTAGTGTATGCACAAAACTCAGCATCGCTATGATCTTAAAGCGAAATTGTGTGACATGTTGGGGGCCCACAAAGCGCAGTATCTGGCCCAGGCTATACAGTGTTTCCTCTTTAAGTGGCTTCTCGAACGATGGTTCAGACAAGCAACTCTCAAAGTATGTGATGACACCGAGTATTCGTTCCGCTATAAACGTGGAGAACTGAGCATTTGTAGCTTGGGTGGATAGGTTCTCGTTGCCAATGCTGAGCTGCAACAGGCTTTGGAAGGATCGCATCACAAAGGTCGGGTTGCGATTAAAATAGATGAGCAGCTCGGCAACGGTTTGCTAAAAAAAAAAAATAGACATGCATATGGGTTTGCATAAGTACATTTCGAGTTTTGTAAGCTCACCTTCACGTCGGCATTCATAAGTTGCTGGACAGTGGACTGCGTGCAGCTGGCGACCAACTCAATGCAACGATTGGCCAGCTCTGGCGGTTCGCTGAGATAAACGTGTGCATAGAGACGTAAAAAGGACGTGGAAAATAGCGAAGCAACAGGCTTATGCAGCTGTTTAGCAATAAGTACAAAGACGCCCTTGCAGCGTGGCTCCTTAATACAATAGGGCAGAACCAAAGCGGTCAGAAGGCGGTGATATTTACAGGTGAACTCCTGCACGCACGAGAAGCCCAACATCTTGGTCAGCTGCAAATTACACATTAACAACGATAAAGAAGTACTTTTGCAATGTATATTCTAGGACTCACCGCCCTAAGTGAGCGCGTAAAGCGTACACCTTCTGTTAAATACGCATGTAGCGCCAGCTGAACAACCAAACCGAGCGCATCCCGCTTGTACCAGTTCCACAGTGTGAGCGTTTGCAATCCATGGCGCGCGCACATTTGACATGCGGAGAGCACCGCCTCCTGGGCGACTAGTGAGCGCGTGTGGATCAGAAAATAGAAGGTCATTTTGAACCAGTGGAAGAGCCAGAGCTCATCGATGTCCTTATGTGCCGCGCAAGCGACCAGACACAACAGCTTTCGCTGCTCGGACTCCGTCTGTTCCTCCAAGGGCTTAGATAGAGTTCCCACGATCCAATCGAGCACTAGCGTTGCCAACTGCTGCATGAAATCTGTGCATTGAGATGCTAGCACTGGCACTAGCCGCTCGAAGCTATGTTCATTGAGAGACTGCCGATCGGGCGCCTCCTTAAGCAGACGCAGACAGAGTGACGGCTCCAGGTTGACCAAATCCAAGTGATGTGTAATGAAGGCGCATTTCGGCATAAAGAGAATTGACTCGGCGAGGACCGTTAAGCTGGAGCTGTGCAACGGCTTAACGGGTATACTGCTCGGTTTGCAAGTGCCCAAATAAATGCCAGGCAATCTGGCAGGCAGTGCGTCGCACTTAAGACAGTGCAGTACAATGCGTTCCCTGATCTTAAAGACGTGCGCCGATCCCGGCTGTTGGGTGCAAAGCAACAAGCGCATAACAGCCGCCAGCGTGTGACCATCTTCTGTTTGTTTCAGTTTTGGTAGCGCCTGCTGCAAATGTGTGGCTTTTATGTAACCTGCCACATAAAGCTGAGGCAGATGCTCGCAGATCAGCTCCGTTATCTCTGGATGCTCGGAATTAAACAGTTCTAGGTATTGTTGTGCAAAGAAGCTCTGCACTTGTGTGTGCGCGCTAGAAGGCGTCTCCAGACGAAGCGTGGCCAGGGCAAGTAAGCACTGACTCCTCTTTTCTTGATGTTCTGACTGTAGTGTACGTTGCAGCACGCCCAGTAGCTGTTGTTGTGTGTGCGGCTTCAATTGAAGCCGCAGGCAGCTGGACTGCAGTAGAAGTGCACAGATTTCTACGAATTCCGGCTGGTCTGAACACTGTGATTCCTCCAAAAGCTGCAAACTCAAAAGATTCCAATTGGTGCTGGCATCTGCTTGCAGTGAAAATTCGTAGTGCTGGGGCAGCTGCGACAGCAGCGCGGCATTGAGCGCCTCATCGCTAGCAACCACCAGCTCTTGTTGCTTACCGAGCAGCAAAAGGTGCTCTATTTGCTTTAACGCACGCAGCACGGCCAGCAATTCAGGCAGCACTTCGGGTGTCGTTTTGGTCAGTAGTTGAACGAGACTCCGGCTGAGGCTAAACAAGATCTTGTCACGCATTGCAGGCTGCTTAGCAGCAACCGCAGCAAGCAAAGACAGCAGGGCCGTGGGCTGACCGCGCCACTGACGCAGCACAAGCTGCGCCGTGTTTTGGGGTAAAACTAAATTGGCCTCCAACATGTGATGCTGCAAGTAGCTGCACAACGTCTGCAGAAGATCGCCACGCCAGTCGCTGGCAGGCAGCCTCAGCACCTCATGCAATAGTTGACAGCATAGCTCAAGGCTATCAAGATCAGTCATATGTTGCTCCATGAATACTTGCAGCAGTTGCCCTGTGTGTATGGCCAGACGCTCCAGTTGCGTTTGCGTCATGCATTTGGCTTGCCAGCGGCTGGACAGGGACCACATTAGGACCACAGCCCGTAGCGTTATGGACGCATAATATGTAACATTCACGTTGCTTGACCAACTTGCCATGGACTGTGCTTGTAGCACGGCATGACAGTAACTCAGACAGTTGAGCTTGGTATCCATATTGCACTCTTTGAGCGTTAGTAGCGCCTGCTGCAGGCTTCCAGCAAACAGTTCGCTATGTGTGGCACGTCCAATCTGATGTGCTTGCAGCAGCACCAGCAATAGGTACTTGGCGTAGGCATCCGAGTGTTCCAGCTGCAATTGGATGACTTGACAGGCACACTGCTCATCGAATTCCTGCAGAGCACTGACATCGCAGCAGAAGATGTGCAAATGCAAAGTGCGCAACTCCTTCGAGTTCTTGTTGGGATGCGTGTAATCAAAGGCGCTCATTTGATCATATAGCTGTTGCAGAGCCTGTACGTAGGCCTCAACAAGACTTTCATACAGCTTGGGATGATTGCACCAACAGGACACGAGCAGTTTCTGCTGTAGCTGCACGTTCTTCAAACACATTCTAATGACATCGATTAATATTTATTTAAATAAAACAGATCTCCACTTACCCTTCATCAGCACACTCACTTAAACATCCGGCGAGTTTATTTAAAAGCCAGAGCAGGAATGTGTCCTGAAATTTGTTTTTCAGCTCACGCACCGACGAGCAGCTGATAAGGCTCGGATCCTGACAGAGAATGTCGTCGACCACATTGTATACGGCTGACAAGTTGCCTTGGTTGCGATTCACCAAACTGTACAACAATTTCCACATATCCTTACGCCGGCCTGACATTTTGCTCAATTAATATACGAGCTTAAATATGAAAATGCGAGGGACACAATTTGCTTGCAGCATGTCAGCGTTGCCAGACCGTCAAATACCAACTGTTGCTTGGTGTTAAGCTCAGTACGCAAATAACTTTGCTTCCAAAAAAAAACCAAATCGAATAAATACCAGATATTATGAAAACTACAAATTACAGTAATTTTAATTACAATAAATAATCATTTGGCGTTTGTTATTCAAATACTCAGATTTATGGAAATCATAAACTAAACCTCCTAAACTATCTACACATTTTAATAAATATTTTTCCCACATGGAAATCGTCAAGAGAATGTAATGTAATTAGAAATTATACAATGGCCTCAGCGGAGCCAAAGACCAGAAATATAATCCAGCCGATCAAGTTGATGCCTGCCGCCGCACTAAAAACCATCGGCCAGCTCTGCGTCAGTTCCAGTATGTGCCCAGCTAGGTAAACACCCAGAAAGCCAGGTATGGCGCCTACTGTGTTCATCAGGCCAAAAACACTACCGGAATGCAATGGCGCCAAATCCTGGGGGTTGACAGTCACCGCATTGTTGTGAAAGCCCGTGCCGCCAATGATGATAGTCATACAAATCAATGCAGTGTGAAAGTTCGTGGTGCGGCTCATTATAAAAAGCGCCACGTTCTGCGCCGCAAAGCAACAGCTCTGTATAAGTTTGCGCACTGTCGTCGTGGACCATTCTCTGGCTATTAGTCGTGTAGTCAAGTATTTGGCAAAAAATGTGCACGGTGGCAGTGCCAGCCATGGTATCATGTTAACCACCCAGCCTTTCGCATGGGGGAATCCATCGTGAAAGTATGTTGGCAGCCAGGAGAGCAGCACAAAGAAACAGTTCATCTCGCAGGCATGCGTCAGCACGCACGCCCAAAACGGCAGCCGGCTAAAGAAGCACAGCCAGGGCACAGATGACTCCGCGGGCGCCTTATTGACGCACAGTCGTGCAGGCATGGAGATGTTAATGATTCGATTGCGCTCGCCGGCCATTGCATAGTAACGCAACACCAGAGCCCAGGCGAACCCCATCAAGCCGATGACTCGGAAAACATACGACCAGCCAAAGTAGTCCAGCACAAAGGAGCCCATGATGCCCGTCAGCAGCGTGCCCATCGCCGAACCGGATGTGAGCAGACCAAAGAAGCTACTGCGCTCATTTTGACATAAATTCTGCAAGCGAAAATAAAACACAACATATATAAAAGTACATAAATATGTTAAAGGAAGCACCTACCTGACTAGTCAGGCTAATCATGCTAGGAAAGTGTACGCCCTGCAGGGCACCATTAAGGATACGAACGGTAACAATGATGGGTATCGCATAGCCCTTGACTGACGCTGCCGACCAGATAATTGTGGGCATTAGGAATGTGATAATGGACCAGCCGAGTGCAGCAAACAATATAACACGCTGCCCGCCGAAGCGATCGCTGAAATAGCCGCCCATCACTTGGGTCAGGGTGTAGCCCCAGAAAAATGAGCTGAGCACAGTGCCGGAATCGGTTTTACTCCACTTTTGTGCGGCCGCCACGGCTGGCACCAGCAGCGGCATCGTTGTGCGCGTGGAGTACAGCATGCAAGTGCCTGTCAGGAGCGTGATGAACCAAACGCGTTTCTCATGCCTGCGAATATGCAGAATTTTGAAAAGGAAATTCAATAATTGAGCTAGCTCTGGACCAATTACCTGTTCCAAATGCTTTGGGTGTCCACCAGCTCGCCGCGCAGCAGCGAATACTTTAGTTTCTCGTCCATGCTGTGCGTGTGGCTAGTGATAATGGATTGTTGTTTTTACTACTTATATTAAACGCCGCTCACGTCACACATTTTAACTTTAGCAGCTGTGGAGCTTGCCGCCTAGGCATTTCTATTATTGACGAACCAAAACTTTAACTCGGTTTGTGTTTATTTACACAAAACAAATTCTTTACTTGCGTACATATGCTGGCGTTTACTTTTTACGTGGCCACTTTGCTGCTTGGGATTAAACGGCATTTGATGAACTTCTAGTGTTAGCGTATTCAGTATTGTCGAAATTTGTGTGCGCTACTTTTCAGCAAGTTTTACATGTATTATATATTGTATTGTGCAGTAAGGCTAAAATAATTGCCTATTTTTAAAACATACAAATATTTATTAAGATATTGAATTTACTTATTTAAAAACTTTCTATTGAATCTAAATGCCTTGAGAAGGGCATATGTGCCCTTGCCAGATGTTTCTCAAGAACATGTGTTTAGCGCTGCCATTTAACATTGGCAGTGTTGCCATACTGCAATTGGCGCGTAATACAATTATTTGAATTGGCATATTTTGTGAATTGAATTTTGCTGAACACAACTTATATCAAGACTTTATTCATTAAAATAGAACTATAGCGTATGTTCATGATTTTATTTATTATTCCCTTATTATTAATTTAGTATATGTAGGTATTTAATTCATGTGTAGTAGAAGGATAAGACAAATAACGTGAAATAAATATAGCAAATCGCCGATGTAAACAGTTACTCGTCCAGCGTGAGATGCACATTAGCGGAGGGATGTAAGCCCAGTTCTTTTAGCGTGGCTTCGTTGTGCTCCATTTCAAGCGACTTGCGCGGAAAGGCACAGATCAGCTTGTAGCCCTCCAGTGGTATGTGCTTGTGCGATTGCCGTATATACACACGCAATGTCTTTAGCTTGGTATCAGAGGGCCACCGCAATTGAATAACCTCTTCGCTGCCTGCGGCGTCAATGAGGCGCAGCTTCAACGCAGTTAGTTCCTCCGCTTGCGAGCCCAGTTGAGCTTCATAAGAAATGGCGGCGCCTTTGAGCTCGTCTTCGTCGAACTCCTCTAGGCTCTCACAGTCGCTGGCATTGGCATTCTTGGTTTCCACAGCGCCGCCATTTTCATTCATAGAATTCTTGATAGCCAGCGCCAGCTGTTCTTCCTCGCTGAGTTCTAATAGTTTGGCGCGCTTTTTAGGAGTACCAACGGTTGAAGAGGAGCACGAGGCACCGTCTTCCTGATCGTCGTCGTCATCAATTTGAATGGCTGCGCGTTTTGAGGTACTCGCCTCCTCTAGTGAAAAGTCTCGATGATCCCGCAGAAATTGTCGCAAGTCGGGCATTACATTTTGCTGATTGGGCTCTGGGCTGCGCCAGACCTCTTCTCCGGTGCGTGGATCTATAACGCACAAATAGGGCAACTTAGCACAGTGGTAGAAGGCGACAAAACGCCGACCCTCTGAGCTATCGTTATCCACCTGCCAGAGCACGAACTGACGTCGTACCAGCTGTTTAAGCTCCTTGACGCTCCAAACATCGCGATTCATCGTCTGCGACTGAAAATTGTCGCCTTGAACATTGACAAGTAGCCATCTCTCTCGCTTGCTGGCGAATTCGCGCGCCGCCGCGAGCGAGCCTGAGTAGAGCAGGTCAGTGGGTGGCCGAAAAAGATCTCCAAGGCGGGATGATGAGTTGCCGCTTGAGCGGCTTTGTAGCGACATGGCCTGTCCAGCCACAACCATTTGAGCAGAACGCTCTCGCCGTCGGCGGTGTGTGCTCGGATCTGAGTAAACTCCCGTGGCTTGAAGCTGCTCCTCCATAAGGGCACCCTCACGTGCGAAATCACGTAGAGGACAAACCTTAACGCGTTGCGTTACTCGGGATAAGCGACTGGTATTACTGCTGCCAGACGCGAAAAAATTATCGTCTTCCGGTAGGAGAAGTTGTTCCCGTACTGGCGCAATGGGTGCACGCACTTCCTCTTCATTCTCAGCGGCTGCTGTACGGGACGTCGAAGCGCCATTGCCGGCGCTGTTGCCACCCTGTTCAAAAAACAAGGCAACGGCTGCGGCTACATCGTTGGCACAGGCGCCAAGGTAGTGTTTGGCCTCCTCTGCTGTGCAGGCGGTAACTTCCACCACGCGCTCGACTAGTTCGTCCACTGAAGCCGCATCGCCACTCGACATTGCGCTGCAGCTTGCCAAATGGACCTTATCGATTTCTCGAAAATAATTTCTTGCGGGTTATTTGGTTGACGCTTGAAGCAGACACTTTAAACAGAAACTTAAACTTAAACTTTTATTAGATGTGAAATGCAAATGTATGCAAGCTGGTAGTGCTGTATAGCACTCGAAAATAGTGTGCAGTATTGCTTGAGATTAAGGAAGAAAACAATCGATGCTATCGATAAGTACATTCAATGGAGAAGAGAATAAAATGTGTAAGTGCTATTTTTGCTGCATATGTTAAAAAAAATATAATACTCTCGCTCTCTCTCTCTCTTTTTGTTTGTACAAGTTAGGAAGAGCGAATTCGTTAGTCACAGAAATTGAGTCACAGGTACAGCGATTATGCGCATCTCTAACCATCAGTATCTGCGTCGATTGGACGCAAGAAAAGGTTCGCGATAAGAATTTGCTAAATATAAAAAATTCTATTAATTATGACTAATACGCGCGTAGTCTAAACAAACCGATGCCGAAAGTTCTTATACATGCGTAACGGCTGAAAACGGCCTTAAGTTATTTCCACAAAAGCCATTTCTCCAGCTAGAATTAAAAGTTCCCATATAAAGCAAACAGTTCAAGTGCTCCTTTGTGCCTCTATATTTTAATGATAGAATGTGCTGAGAGTGCATTAAATTGCTGCGAGATTATTTTTAATCGTCATCATTGCTGCTGCTACTGTTATCTTTGGATCAGTGCACGATAATCGGAACCCGCCCGCCGCCTGCTGACGTCGCAAAATGGTCTCGCTGATAAAAAACCAATTGCTCAAGCATTTGTCCATGTAAGTGTCAATATACATAAACGAGTTAGCATTAAATTGAATTGTAAACTCTATGCTAATTATGGCCTTGTAGCGGTCGGTCGGTTACTCTGGCGCCAGTTGCTGAGGGAAATTAAATTGATTTTTCCAAGCGCTGCTGTTGCTCTATTTCAATTACTGTTGTTCTCGTTGTTGTTGTCCAAATGCCGTTGTCCCTGAGTGTGTGTGTGTGTGTGTGCGTGTGTCTGTGCCCGCTACTGTTTATGTATGTGTATTTCTTGCAGCCTCTCAACAATTGCATGAAGGGGTGCGCGGTTTCTCTATCGTATATCTTTGCACCCATAACAACAAGAATTTGTTGCCCACTCCACCCCTTAAGAGTAACAAGTGAAAGGTCGCACCTCCCTCTCTCTCCCTCTCTCGCTCTCTCTCTCTCTCTCTTGTGTTTACAGCTGTTAGCAAAAAGAAAACACTTAAAATTAAATGGGTCACCGGCTTTTGCATTCGTTAATATTTTTAATTTGATTAGACTTCACAATATGTTTTACTTAGTTTTGTGTTTTTATAATTGTACACATAGGAAAAATTGAAAGTAATGACAGAACCAGATTAGCTCTGTTTTTGGGGCCCAAACTTATGTTTTTTGATCCATTGTAATGTTTTCTTTTCTCCTTGAGTATATGTATGCATATGTATGTGTATATGTATATGTATATGTAACGGTTAAATGAAACGCTTCATAAAAATGGGTATAACGGTATTGTATGTAAAAGGCAGAAGAAAGCATCTGCGACCCATAAAGTGCATTAGTATTAGTGCATCATACGCAGTTAAGCTGCAAACAAAATCAACTTGTTGCCTCATTTCTCTCCTGTTTTGTTTATAAGGAAATTTAATATTTCTTGATTCGCGTAAAACTCAGATATGTTTTGAAAAACTAGAAACTACAAATCCGCCCAATTCAATCAATATTCAGATTTCAATTATGCACGCAAATGATTAATTTGAAATGGGTCAATTGATGGCAACTGACGGGTCACCAGTTGACGCGGAAATAAACATCTTGGAACAATCTTAATTAGGCCTCGTTAATATCTATCCGCTTATATCTCAACTTATTAGCTACACGAAGAATCTTTCATCGGACAAAATCAATTTGAGCACATTTCGCGGCGAGGGTGAGCTGTCGAATCTAGAATTGGATGAGCGTGTGCTCACCGAGCTATTGGAGCTGCCCAGTTGGCTGCGCCTGACATCAGCCTGGTGCAATCATGTATCATTTCGAATCAGCTGGACCAAGCTTAAAAGCGTGCCCATAACATTGGTAAGTTGACAGTTTGTATGCGATCTGAACAAGTTGGTAATCTCTTACGCCATTTCGAATAGACGCTCGACGAGGTGCGCATTACCATCGAGACCTGCAATCCCACAACGCGCGATGCTGGCGTAGGGAACGCTACAGCCGCAGCGCTTCCGCAAGTGCCTCAGGGTAAATACAGCTTCATACACAAGGTCGTTGACGGCATCACCATTGTGGTGAACACGGTCAATGTGAATTTTGTGAGTGCCGCATTCACCGCCTCCGTGCAAATGTCGCGCATACGCGTGGAGTCCAAGACGCCAAAGTGGGCTAACGCCGATTTGCGTTTGACGCGCCTTAAAGATGCCCATAAGGGCATCATACTAATTTTTAAAGAGCTCTCTTGGCAAACGGTGCGCATCGAGGCCAGCTCCACTCAGGACAAATCGCTGACTCCGCTCCGTTTGCTGACGAACCATGCGCGTTGTCGTATTACCATTCGCAAACGTCTAGCGGATTGCAGTTTGTTGGCTTCGCGACTGGTCCTCATACTGGATGATCTGCTGTGGGTGCTGACCGATTCGCAGCTGAAGGCAGCGCTCCATTTCGTCGACTCACTTTCGGGATTAATCAAGGCAGCCACGCATGCCACACAAAAGACAAAGGCAGCGCGCAAACTTCAGGTCCGTAGAATTGGAAAATATGTGGATTTGGCTAATAATTAACATATACTTTTGATCGCCCTCGTTTAGACTCTGCCTGAATACCAGGCGCAGGTGGCACAGCAACAGAATCGCCTCTCGGAATCGGTACACACGACAACGGCACAACGGATGTTCAATGCATTCGATGTACGCGAAACGTCGTATCATTTCTTTAGTCAACGCATTGATTTGCACTTGTGCGACGATGAAGGCGATGGACGTTCGAGTTATCCTGACCTGGACAAGGGCGGTGCCCTGCAGGTATCTGTGACTGCGTTTCAGGTGGATTACTATCCCTATCATTTGGCCAAATCGGATCGCTCACACTGGGCCAAGTACAAGGAGGCGTCGGTGGCGCCTGCGCTGTGGCTTAAAGAATCGCTAAATGCCTTTCGTGAGGCAGTGCTCAATCTCAGTCAGCCAAATCGACCGGCAACCCATGCACCGCTGAACCGCAGCGCGCCCGCTTCACCTATTATGCTGAATGCCTCGCTGCTGGGCTCACAATACGGCAACGGCGGTCTCGGCTCTAATGGCAGCAGCACGCCCACTGCAGCAGCGGCTGCCGGCGGCTCCGGCTCCGGTTCAGGCTCGGTTGGCGGCTCGGGCAATGCCTCGGCTAGCAGTCAGTACACGCAAGCAGCCCAGCAGCGCAGTACTCTGGAGAATCTGGCCAAGCTGATGAGCTCCTGCTTCATACTGAGAATCGAAGATTTTACGTTGTATCGCGTGACTACGTCAGGCAAAAAGCAAATGCCCAAAGAGTTTGTCTCAGGTAAGAGTCAATTGGCATACTCCATTTCTCCACATTCAAAAATCAAACACACACACATATAAATACATAAATACGTATTCAATTTTTAACAGTTGCAGCGGGACAAGAATAATAACGATAAGAATAACATTACTGTACTATATAACAAAAAGTGCGCTTTTTAAATATAAAAAAAATGTACATTAATATTTAAAGCATCACACAGACTCGCACACATATACACCTCGAAACCTAAGCTTACACCGCTTAACTAATGAATTTTCGCGAATTTCTCTTTCTCTTGTTCTCTGCTTTGTTCCTTTTGTTGTACTTTTAACACAATTCACATGTTTTTATTTGCCGTCATGACATCCTCATCATCAAATTGTCACGTTTGTAAAACGCTTTTGTTGTTTGTTGTGCCTGTTTTTGTCATTCTGTTGTTATTGTAGCACAACACAAAAGGAAAAACAAATCCTCAGGTGAATATCATGCAAACATTGCGCTTGTGGGCAACGGGCGGAATTAATAGATCAACCCTAAATTGTATTTAGCAGTTTATGTGACAAACTCAATTCAGGTTGAGGGATATTTAAAATAGATTATCCCACATTGAGGTTTTAGTGTTTTATTTAAAAGATTGTTCATTGACTTGTTTTAAATGAAATGTTTTACAAGTGGGTCAACTATTTACCATTTATCAACTTGAACTACAAATAAATATCTTAGGAGATTAACGTATGATCTATTGATTCTAGCCTATGCCAAAATACTTTGTGTGTTTCATTTGTAGTCAGGTTGGAGTGATTTTTTGATCAATTCGACTGACAAATATCTCTTATTGCAGGTGATAAGGATCGTTACTCGTTTCCCGCCGAGATGCCCATAGTGCACGCTGAGTACACATACTTCTACTATCCCGGTGATTTTGTTTTTCCGCGTAAGTATTTTATTCATGCTAAATGATCATTTAGAAACTAATTGATTGATTTTTGATATCTTGCAGTGCCGCCTTCAAAGATGTTTGTGCACATTAACCCGCTGCAAGTGCATTTTGATCTCAGCTCGATATTGTGGTTGAACTCGTTTGGCTTGAATCTGCACGAGAGTTTGCTACGCACCAGCGTCGGCTCCCAGGCCACGTTGCAGGACCAGCCGCAGAGCTCTCGCGGCTCCATTGCTTCCAATGCCTCGAATGGCTCCAATGGTACACAGATGGCCGCTGCGCTTAGCGTTGAACAGGAGCCAAATCTGATGTACATGGATGTCAAGGTGGAAGCTATTATGCCGCGCGTGGTCATGGAAGCGGCGCTGGATGCGCCCAACCAAAAGGATCGCCCCAAAACAATGCAAATCCAAATCTCTCGCTTTGCCCTCACCAACATACGTGAGATGGGGAGCTCACGTGCGGATTTGGCTCAGGCGCTGCACTCACTACAGGAGGGCTCGCTGGTCTTTGGCTCCGGCTTTCCCTCCGTCGAGGGTGACATGTGCATTGTTACGGATCGCATTTTATCGCACGTGGCCGCCTCAGATGTGAGCATAATGTCAGCACCCATGTCACCAACGCAGACGCATCTACCGCGTT